GGAGGACGAGGTGAAGAGTGGACTCCTTCTGGATGTTGTAGTCTGCAAGAGTACGGCCGTCCTCGAGCTGCTTGCCCGCAAAGATGAGCCTTTGCTGGTCCGGTGGAATGCCTTCCTTGTCCTGAATCTTGGCCTTCACGTTGTCGATGGTGTCCGAGCTCTCGACTTCGAGGGTGATCGTCTTCCCGGTGAGCGTCTTCACAAAGATCTGCATCTGTTTTGTAGATTAAAAGACAAAAAGTTAGAAGCGAATAACTGAATAAGAAAAACGCTGACATGAACGCCAATCAAAGACGATTAAAGCAGAAAACAAAAGAAAGAAGAGACAAACCATAAAAAAGGAACCAATTTTAACCCTTTGTTCTAACAATTGAACCCACAAACATGATCGGAGGGAGGTATATAGAAGGCAAGAGATCGCAAAAGATCAAATCAACATCTAAAAATATTTAGAAATGTTTTCAAATAGTGATCAGATTTAAACAAGAACAACCATCAGATCCTAACAAACAACACGCCGAAGATAAAATCTTCATCGAAGCACATTGAATCTACCACAGATCGTAGACAAGAACGAGCATCAAACCCGAAACGATCAACCAATCACACACACAAACACGTAACAAGATCACCACTCCTATGTGAATCAACACCGTCATCGTCTAACACAGAACAGCAACAAGAAGAAAGGCAACGAAAGATACCTTGAGAGGCGAAATCTAAAGCCTTTTGGGTCGCTTCGAAAAGATTTGATTGGATCGGAGAGAATCAGGTTGGAACGGAGAAAACTGTGTGGGGAGGAGCCCTATTTATCGTTGCCGAGCGCCTTAGGGGTAGTCACAGGTGACGTTACCGCCCAAATCGAGAAAGGCGGCGAATTCGGTGGAACCCTCGCGAATGTAATTGAACACTCCAGAATCCTCCGTGAGTTAAGGTAAGTCTCCGTTACGTGACGCCGTCAACGGTGACAGCTGGCGATGAAGATGCCGCTAAACCTACTCTTAATATGTACGCATGACGCTTACTCGATGATGTGATTGATTCATGTGGGACCCATATAAACGTTCCCTGCAACCATAACGCGGGTATTAACGCGGAGATTATTGTCTTCGGTCGGTTGGCTCTCGGTGAAAAGGAAGCTTATCCTTCGTTGGATCGTCAGCTGGTCCATCAAACGAATCTAGCCTTTGGTGTTCTTCGCGCTTCGATCGAAGGTTGTCGTGTTTCTGACCCCAATCTCAATTCAGGTGCGAGACGTTACCCTTCCGAGTCTTCTGTTTTTGCATAAAAGTAGGGTTTCTGTTCTTGATCTTGTTAGTTCTTGCAATGAATCTCGGATTTTTATTAGCATCGGTTTAGGGTTTACTATTTTTCGATTTCTGTTGCTTGTCTTGCATTCGGAAATTGATGGGCGAGGAGCCTGTGGTCGGGTTCCTTTGAAATCATTTATGCATTAAATTATTTGTTCTATAGATATTTGAGCTGTTGTATAAATGTTAAGAGGATGTGAATGTGATATTGAGTTTTTCTTTATATTCTATTACATTAGGGTTCTTTTAGCTATATTAATATTTTAGAAAATGATTCTTTTGGATTCCATATTTGTTTGAGATATTTTAGTAAACTTATTAAAAAAATTCAATTATATATATATATATATATATATATATATGTATGTATGTATGTATGTATGTATGTATGTATGTATGTATGATATTGAGTTTTTCTTTAGATTCTATTACATTTTAGTGTTCTTTTAGCTAAATTAATATTTTAGAAAATGATTCTTTTGGATTCCATATTTGTTTGACATATTTTAGTAAACTTATTAAAAAATCAATTTTATATATATATATATATATATATATATATATATATATATAAAGAAAGTGAAAATTGAATCTTTAGCCTCCCCAATAGGTTATATATATATATATATATATAAAGAACGAGAAAAAAGAATCTTTAGCCTCCCCAATAAGTAAGATATATATACATACATTTACATATATATGTCTTACCTATTGGGTCTTCTCAAGATTCCTCTTCCTCATTTTTTCACCTAAGAAGCACAGACACAGGACAGACAGTGCTATGTCATTTAAAAAAAAATTACAACACAGATATGGTGAGGATAAATATATTTTTTAATATATATAATATTTAATTAACCTGATTTTTATAGGTATCTTTTAATAAAATCCTAACGTTTGTCCACACAACTTACTCTTGTTATGCATTACATAAAACAATTAACAATACAAGTTAATTAGAATAAGAGGCACTAACAAATTAACAGTTCAATATAGTTATGTGACAAGGATATGTCAAAACATAAATATCCTTTATGTGGTGATCAATTCAAAAAAAAATCCTAAAAAGAAACAGAAGGTAAAAGGCACCTCCACAACCAAGGTCATGGGTTTGCGCTTTACACGAGCAAGGCGTTGAGGCTGTGGGTGATAGGTGACTAGTCGACTGGAAGGATGCCGAGGTTTGCACGAGTAAGGCTCTTGGTGTTAGGTGACGGATCCTTGAGGGTGGGATGGATGCCGAGGGCACACGATGATAGGTGACAAGTCATGGTGCGCATTGTGAGTTACCGAGGGCGCTGGTCGTTAAGGGTGTAAGTCGTCAAGGCACGAGTCGCATGGCGGGTGTCAGTGAGATCAAGGGTCGTTGTGGCTATGGCTATGTGCGTCGCACAAAGGGTGTCGGTGAGGTTGCAAGTCGCTGAGGGCGAGCATCGCGCAATGGGTTGTGGTCGCCAAGGGTACATGATGGTGGCTTCAGCCTTCCATTGGACATAGTCACACAGGTGGGCTTGGTGCAAATCCACTGGACAAGTGAACAGTGAGGAAGGGTGTGGGAGATGTATTCGACATGGATATGCATGTCCAAAAAACATAAATGAAAGCAAAGACGTGTCCAACCGTGTCGGCGATGTATCTGTGTCCGAGACGTGTCCAACATGGATGCAACCACCAAATCGACATGTTTGTGCTTCTCAGTGTTCCGCTACCTTTTCTAAAAATATTTTTTATTCTTTTTAGTTCTGTAAATATTTATGTATTTAGATTAGATCTAAATGAATTCATGATGTGTTCAATTCAAAATTTATTTTTGGATTTCAATGTTATGATCTTTATTGATTCAAAAGTTCATGCTAAATTATTTTAGCATATTGGAGTATTATTAATTGATTTTTCTTTTGTTTGCATGATGAAAATTGATTCATTGAAATGCTAATTCTTAATGTAATTTTATCATGTTACAAATGAATTTGGACTGGTCTAATTATATCTTGTCTGGAACTACCTTAGATTGGTCTAATTTGGACTTTATTTAATTTAATTTTAGTTAAATGGGCTTGAATTGGTCAAATCAGTTTGAAGTCACTCTGAACTAGAACCGATCAATCGGTCTAGTGCAATTATGAGTCAACTATAGGGCTTAAGTCAATCATAGGAAAGAGACTTAGGCTAGGCCTTATAGCATTGGGCCGAGCATTAGCTTGCAAGCTAGGTTGAGCCTGGACTTATTGGACCAGAACCAAGTGCATGTGATTGGGTTGATCGAGTCTAGTTGTTAGCCTAACTTGGATCGAACCCAATTGACCCTCTCGTGTTCAATTCAATTTAAGCTTTTTTTTTTGCAGCATCAATATTAAATTAACATAGAATGTTTATTATCAAATGGTTAAATCATAAGAAAACTGGTACATGATTAAATGGTAGTAGATGAATTCAATTGTAACATGAAAAAATTATATTAAAAAAGAGTATTTCAATTAATCAACTTTTATCATGTGAACATAAAGAAAATCAATTAATAATACTCTAATAACCTAAAGTAATTTAACATCAAACGTGTATATATACATTTTTTTTCTTCTTCCATATATATTTTAAACTTTTGAATCAGTAAAGATCATAATATCGAAATCCAAAAATAATTTCAAATTAAACACATCGTCAATTCATTTAGATATAATCTAAATGCATAAAGATTTAAAGAACTAAAAAGAATAAAAAAAGATTTTCAAGAAAGGCAGGAACCTATCTCTTAACGAAACTCCATTCCTCCCACTACCAAGCTTGGTACATAACGAGGGAGAGGAATCACCTTTAAATAGGAGGAGGTGAGCCCTCCCCAATAGGTAAGAAATATATTTTTTTCATAATTAATTTATTTTTATTTTTTAATATACTTATTAAAATATCTCAAACAAATATGAAATATGAAATATTCATTTCCTAAGATCTGACAATAAATTTGAAAATCAACTAATTAGATCATGATTAGGGAAAAAAAGTTGTTAATTACAACTTTGTGTCTTCCCTTTTACACTTTTGAGGTTGATTAATGGACTATTATTTTCTTATTGGGTGTAATCCTCTTTGTGTATTCTTAATTTGGTTATCTTTTAAAAGACAGTTTATTTTTTTGTTTCTAGCTTTTTTTTTCCATTCTCTTACATGAACTCGATTTGGGAATGTGGCAGAGTCTTAGAACTTACAATAAAATCAGAAGAGTATTAATTAGATAGGGTATTGGATGAGCTGATGATATCTACCTTATTATCACTGGTTCATAATTTTTTTTTAGTGCAGCAGGCCACCCTTCCATAGACCGATATGGATAGAGCAAATTAGTAATGTATTTCATTTTGAGAATATGTTGGACCTTGGCTCTCATTTGAGGAAAGATTTGTGCATTTTGATGGATGTCAAATAAATATTCCTGTAACTTTTACCTTTTGATCCTTTTTTTCTCTAAAACTCAAAATCCTTTTTAATGTCTTGAAATCTTGCTAAGCATTTGTTGGGAGTTCTGTACAGTCCTTTCTTTTCGGTTTTCATGAAATGGAAGAAGGGATGAGTATATTGAAAGTTTTTTTCTTTTTCTATTGTGGAGATAGCGAGGGATAACATTCAGAAATAGTTGGTACTTACTGCTTTGTTGTTGTTTTTCTATTGTGGAGATAGAGAGAATGAGGTGCACATAATGCATTATCCTTTTCTTACTGAATCTATAACTTATGGTGATAATAGGTACTTTGTCTAGCTCTTAAATAGATCATCATTGTTGATGCTTATATCAACATTGTGCTTCTATTTTGTGGAATATACAGAAATGAAGTTTGACATAATATATAAAGATGAAGACTTGTGTCGCTGGGATGAACCGGATTACCATTATCATAAGTTTAATTTTATTTATTTTTTTCATATGCTGACTAGGTACAGCTATGTTTTGACATATTTAGTTTAATATGTAATAATGCCTATGAAATGTTGTGACATCTCCATTGAGATTGAGGAAAAATTATAAACAAAAACAATTTACTTAAGATACTACATGTGATTTCATACAAGGTGGTTTCTTTACCCTACTACTGGAACAAGTGAAAGAAAACAAGACAGAGCTTGCTTTTTGTGTGAGTTGCATGTCAGCCTCTAAATATCATTGATATTAGCTTCTTTCAGCTTGAACTGATAAGAAAGGCAGAAGTGTATTTGCTTGTCCTCGGTTTGCGACGACCAAGAGTTCATGTCTGATCTTGATGTCCATTTTCCCACTGCTTTTGGTGAGTGGATTAATTGGTTTCATACATTTTTGAACTATGATTTATGTCTAAATGTTTTTTATGCAGGCCCATTTGCTGAGGCAAATGTTGACGACTCTGGGGCTGGTGCAAAGGAGTATGTGCGTGTTTGTATACAACAGAAGAACGGTAGGAAGTCTAACCACTGTAAAAGGAGTTCAGCTATAACAAGATCTTGATGGACTTGAAGGAGTTCTGGTACAATGGTATTGTTATCTAAGATCCAGAACTAAGCCAGGTATTCCACTGATATAAGTTACAGCTGCCGCCATGTGTGGTGCCTGCAAATGGTTGTTCTCTCTCTGATGGCAGGTTATTTAACTCGAAGGTGGTTAGAGAATAAATGTTTTGAATTTCCTAGTTCAGGTACAGTATCTCTATGTTCTAACATATTGTACTTGCAACTATTGTATCAACCAAGTCATAGGGATTGGTTCATTTTATTTTTCCATTTAACTCCATGTTTCAGTTTTTTCTGTTGTGATTAAGCAAATAGGAAACTGCAAGACCATTTCCAGTTTGTTTTTGTTTATAAGTAATACTTGTGACCTAGATACAAGCCCATGTTTAAAAAAGAGAAGAGTCAATGAAGGTTGTTTTAAGTTGCAGAACTTAAATAAATAATCAAGGGTGTTTCTCCTGTTTTAGAACTTGTATGTAGGATGGTGTGCATGGGCAAGTGGGACGAGTGGCTTACTGTCTTGGTATTAAAGGGTCTAAGTTATCAGAGATCACCATTAATGTACAAGAACAGCAGGAGCAGCAACGGCAACCCTTAATATCTTAAACTATTTGGGATTGCTAAGAAATTATCATGTGTACCCATCCAATTGTTTTTCTACTCTGATCAATTGTTCACCTGTCTAGGAATTTCCTGGAGTGATTAGCTATTCTTGTGTATATGTTGATTTTGTGGTTCCTCAATACGATGCTAGCATACAACAATTTGCATAGTTTGTGATGATTCCAATATTTTGTTCTCTCCATGATATGGTGGATTGTTGACTGATTTTTGAGACAGACATGTTGTAGTTTCTGAAATAGTTAGAAAAAATTTCAGCACACTGACTGCCTACACTCATCCTTTAGACCAACTTGTTTAATGCTGGGTTCTTCTTGTACATTAAATTTTGTCCCAAATGTTGCTTTAGATTCTAGAGATTCAATGACTTTCTACTGCCAACTTGTGTTTTTGGTGGAGGCTGGCATTGTTAAGAAGGAAGACGATAAGATTCATGGTTCTTAATACTTAGTCGACTAGTTTGTCATCTAAGCTTGTTTCAACTTGTTTATGACATGTTTGGAATTCTCACCGTCGAAGACGCTCGATCAAGATAGCTCGTTTGAGTGACCAATTATGTATGCTAAGAGAAGCTTTTTGCTTCATGCTAAGATTGTCACTTGAGTATCTGAGTCACCAATCTCTCTCCAGTAATTGCCCTTCCATTGTACATTTGGAATGCCATGAATGCAACTCACTAGCTATGCTTGATGTAAATTGTTTTGTTGCTTCTAATTTGAACGAAGAGCATTGGGGCTAGTCCTACTTTGTGTCATCAGTTGAATCAAATGGTGTTTTTGGTCTGACAGAAGTCAACATCCTGTGGACAGCAACCAAATGAGATGTATATTTCTGGGTACAATGTATCAGTGGATGCTCCTGATAATATTGCTCATCTGAAGGTAAGTGGACACCACGCATCATTTGATTAAGTGTTGGAGGAGACACAAAACTCGCTATGTGGATTGATCCCTTTTTCTTCTTTATTACTCATTCTTATTTTGAAGGTACTATAAAAATTATCATGTGTACATACACAACTATGTCCATGTTCTTTGCTTTTCTGACTATGATATGTTATCCAGTTAGGGTGAATGACGATGATGTGTCATTTATGTGAATGTTTAAATATTATTGTTGACAATGTGTCGAGTCTATGATAGTGTCATTTTGGTGTCGACGTATTAATTGCTAGTCATAGGTACCTTACAAGCCAATCACGTAAGTGATGGTACGTGTGATATGATACGTATTCTTTTTGCTTATTATATTATTTGGTATTTTATCATGCATGCTGTATATATTATAATGTCCGTGGATCTGTGCAATATGAATCAGATCGTGTTGAGATCACGATAATGAGATCGATTCGCCTTTAAACACAGACCCTAAATAATCCTGGTCATAGGTCACTTGAAAGGGGCATCGAGATGACCAAATAGATTGGTGTGTTGTACACTCGTCTATATAATGGAGGCGGTTGGTCTTATAGTTGCTCGTGTGGAGACACTATGGATACAGTGCAGGTGCTCATTGAAGAATGAGTTCACTGATTAATCCGCTTACAGAATGTTGGATAGTTGATGATACCTCATTGTCAGACAGCGATTCCGTCGTCTCAATAGTCTGTCTGTTCCTTAGACTTAAGACACCAATGATGTTCTGTATGAGTATTTCACTCTTTGATATTAGTCTTATATGTCTGGAAGTTCTATATCTAGTATAATCGGTTATCGGGAGTGACAATCAACCTTACGAAGGTTATTGAGTGTCGATAGAGGATTATCCGTTCTCGGTGTCATGAGAGGAATATCACATGTGTTTTGCTTAAGCAAATCCTTGGCCATGGTCATTCGGATTGAGAGAAAAAGTTATTCGGGAGAATCCGGTTAGAGCAAGACTCGAGTAGAAACCGTATGAGCTTAACAGTATCACGTCCGGTATATAGTCTTTGAGATATTAGATAGATGAAGAACTATATATATGGTAACTGAGGATAGACATGTTCAATGGATTAGATTCCCTTGTATCATCTATGAACTATGACGTAACGACCTAGTACGTCTGCAATCGATGAGTCGAGTGAATTATTATGGAGATAATAATTTACTGAGTCAGAAGGAGTTTTGATATGTATGACTCACAATCAGCTCGATATTGGGCATAGAGGGTCACATACATATGGTATGTGTTACGACGGGTAGAGGTTCAGATATGAGATATCCGCTGAAACCTCTTTTTTATTGAATATCCAATAAGCCCTTGAATTATTAAATACTATGGATGAAATCCAATAAGAACCAACGAGAGATTATTAGGTAGAGACCTACTACCCAATACCTAATAAGAGGCTTTGGTAGTTGGATGGAGATCCAATACCCAATATGGCAAGATCCATTAGGGTTAAGTTGATAGAGGCCTCTATAAATAGGAGGGAATCAAAGGGTCATGGGTTAGGCTTTTTTGGCTGTCACCTCCTATTCTCCTCTCCCCTTCTCCTCCTCGATCTACAGCCCCTATTTGTGGCGTGTGAACATAAGGGGCAACCATTTTTTTATTGTATGGTGTGCACGAGGAAGAGATTTGGACAGTGATTTAAGGAGCGTCTTCATAGCCCCTACCGTGTGGATCACCACTAGAGAGGAGGACAATTAACCTCATTCATCATCTTACATATCTAGGTAACACATCTTTCTTATACAGTTTTCGGTTTTGCGGGTTTTTGCATACTAATTTTTGTACCATGATGAAAAATTTTGGGATTTTTATTTTTTATTCTTCCGCTGTGCGTATGATGTCGTCCTAAGATTTTCCTACATTAATAGACTAAGATTTTCCTACATAATTAGACTTTGTTTATTTCTTTCTAAATGATATTCATTGACCATAAATAATTCGAAAGTGATGTGCTTTCTTGATCCTTTGATTTGATTGTCATAAATATTTTGTTGGATGAACATTATGTTGTAAAGTTGAGTTTGGATTTGGTGTAGGATTTATTTTGTTTTCATTACATTAAATTATGAATGTAAATTGATTAAAATATATATGCTTCTTTTTTCAAGTGATGTGTTTTTTTAGATGACAATTTAAAGTTTCTGTTTGCATACATATAACTAACTATATGTCATTAATATTACAAATATTTTCATAATTTGTTCATATCATGATGGTGGGTCAGAGATGATAATGTATTTGTTAATCTAGATCTTCCATCCTCGAGTGCAATGATCCTAATGTCATGGATTTTGATCATGGAATTTCCATAAGACTAGGAATCAGGGAAGCTACTAAACTGTGATCTGATGAACACCATGGATTTTGATCATTTATGAGATTATGTATTGGAGATGTGACTTCATTTTGATCTTCATTCCCTAAGGCTAGAATGGAAGTGCTTCAGCTGCAGAGGGTTAGGGTTCTTGCATTGTCCAAAATAAGACGGGCAAATAGAGTTTACTGCAACAGTTTAGAGAAATTACTGCTTTCCTTTTCTTTTCTCCTAAGTTGCACAAGATATGAGCAAGAATACATAGGACCAAGTCAACCATGGATCCAAGCCTTTGTTGACTTGCAGAAAAAATTCACATCAATGGGAGCCAGCCAAGCAGTTGACCTAAATTTCATAACAGCATAAATTAGCAGCTATTCCAGTTGTCCAACAGCAACAGAAGCAATTTTTCTATTATGAGTTTTTTTTTTGAGAGAATATATGATTTTTATTTCTTGTTCTTTCATAATAATGGAATAGATATATGTTACCTTCTTTGTTAGTTGAATCCCACTTATTAGATATGGATGCCAGCAAATTGATCTACTGCTGTTGATGTGCATAGCTGCATCATATGGTTTTTATATACTTATGAGATAACTAAATGCAATGAATTCATACATATTATACTCTTTGATATGGAATGAAGAAAATTTAAGGCCTTGGTTGGGTGTTTAACATGCCAACTTAACCTCAATGAGTAATATGTTTATTCATCAAGTTGTATAGTCCAGAAAACAATTCAAACAAGAACATTGAAAAGATGTTTTTTCCCTTTTTTTTTGTTTTTCTCACTTTAGCATTAGCAAATCCAATGCAAACTAATGGCATGATTAGTGGAGACTAAAAAGAAAGAAAGAAAATGATGAATTCTTTAAGAGATCCATCATTGGGATGTTCTCATATGGTGGGCAACAAATGAGAGCTTATACTATTGGTATGATACCTAGATCTTAGGAAGTTCTTCTTAATTAACCCATAACTCAACTGATCAATTAATTAAAATGGTTCATCTCATAAGATGAAGTTGCTAATGTGGGTTCTTTGAACTTGTTAAAAGAATTCAACTCATGGGAGAAGAAAGAAAGAAATAGTGAAGAAGATTGTTTTGGTTTCATGGGCAGCGGAAATGGTGTTGGGGGAGAGCTAGTTGGAGCTGGAGCTTAATAGACAAGTGATGTCATGATACCCATTACTTGCAACTTGGTAATCACCAGAGAATTCCTTGGTTGTATAAAGCTATGGATTGACAAAGCAATTTTTCCTTTATTTTTTTTGTCTCTGACAAATAATACAATTAATGGTAGTGTTGTTGTTATCTTCTTAATTAGATGGTGATAAATTAGCATTAAACATATACATGCTAGCACCTTGTTTTAAGGTCTCATGGAGGTAGTTCGAGAGGATCCTATCTTGTAGACTTGATCAATTTAGTCAAAAACTTTCCATCAGTTTAGGTCTCGTATTGCAAGGAAAACAATGGATTTTGTAGGCTATTATAGACAATGGAAGACAATTGATGTATCTAATTTAAGCTTTCAATTAATACTAGTTTGAAGACAGCTAAGGGTTTCTCATCCTTTGATATTGCCCACCATCTCCCAAACCTATGTCCCCTCTTAATCTACCTTATCTGACCTTTGTGCAACAGCTCTCTCTCTCTCTCTCTTCAATATACAAAATCGACTACCTTTGTCTTTGGGGGATCTTGTGTAGTTTTAGTACTTACATGGTCTGTGTTCTTGTGAGTTTTTGGCAACACTAGAGATGAAGTGGGTGGGGATGGAGCTGTTGATCTAGATGAAGTTCTCCACCGAATCCCATTTCAGTTTAAGTCCAAGGAAGACTGCGAAACATCTTTGAGGTATGCTTCCATTGCATTCCCTGCTACTCATCACACGGTATGCTTCCATTGCATTCCCTGCTACTCATCACACAAGTTGGGCATTGTTTGCAGTACAGAGTCTAGTTTTGTTTGGCTCTGCCTCTCATATGGAGTGGAGCATAATTCAACTGTATACACCAGCAAAATACTTCTCTTTTTCTCTCCATTAGTAACATCTTTTGCTTGCTTTTATTAATGCTCAAGGACTTGCTGAGATTGAAAGCCTCCTTCCATGGCTTGCAAGATGAAAGGGCTCCTCAAGGGAATAAAATACATCACCCACATCTTTGGTACTGGTTTTTGTTTATGTGCTTTTCACTCAGATGTCTAAACCTATGTTTGCTGATTAGATTTTGGGCATGGTTCTTCCTCTTGCTGTGTCACTTGCAGTGCACAAGGAGCATGAGATGGAGATTGGGTACCCGACAGATGTGAAGCATGTTGCTCATATTGGTTTTGACAATCCATTTTGGGTGAGCAACTTCTGTTTTTTCTTCCTTTTTTCTTTCCTCTCTCTCAAGTAATCACTTTGAATCTTTCTCTGCTTGTGAGATAGATGTTGTTGAGGATGCATGAGATGATCAATTTGCTAATTCATATATTTTTGGTCTGCAACATTGTGGTGCAGATGGATGAGTTCAAGTCAGCATCTGATTTCTCAGGCTCCCTCAGCAATTATGAGTCTGCACATAGCTCTTGGGTTTCTCAAGGCATACTCTCTCTCTCTCTCTCTCTCTCTCTCTATATATATATATATATATATATATATATATATATATAAAGGTACTAAAGTCAAGACATCTCTCAAATTGTCCCCTAAAAATTCAGAATCATCATATAATACTTGAAAACCATTTTTATTTAAGGTTAATATTTTGAAGGCCTAACAAATAATCATGTGTTATGTTAAACTTAGAACATGTAATCCCCAAAAAGAGAGCAAAGTGAAACTCTATGACATCCATGGATGATTCTATGATTTTATGTATGTTTACATAATAATCAGGGAGTCACTTTACCCCCAAACAAATTAGTATTATTCTGATATATAATGATCGATGGAGTTATTTGCATCTCTCATACGTGTAACTATTCTACCGTAAATTGTACATGGTGTTATTTTGATCATCGACGATTAATGTTAATCATCTCTATCATTGAGAGCTACCTTTTTTAGGTCATAACCTAACATAATGTATCCATATTTTCAACCATATTTTTTGTCTTCACCGATTAAATTATTCATCCATTTGGCACTACATAAGATTCTTCTTTTAGTACGTAGGCATAATATTATCAACATAGCTTATATTTGGCATGATATAATGCCACAAATGTCATTACATGACCTTTCCAAGCCAATTAGTTGCATGCTAATGTATGTGTAGTCCTCATATTCACAGTAGTTTGGCATATTTTCCTATAATTAAATCTTAACCAAACATAAATTGATAATTATATGTTAATCTGTTTATTGAGAGAATGCAGTCCATAAATTATCTTGAGCAATAACCAGAAGACCAGTAAGTCCTCCTCCCATATTTCCTTACCTATCAAAGTGCTCATACATCTCTTCAGTTATTGCTCATTTTCCCATAATTTAAGTGTCTTGGCTCAACTTCTACTACTGTGTTGGATTCAACGCTAAGCAGTGCATTCTTTTTCTTTGCTTGAAGAGTCTGTCGTTACATGATTTGCTAACAATTGTTGCTGCAGATTTTGATCGACCAAGAGAGCTTCAAACAGCTTCTGCCATGTTCATGGATCACCGTCTGCCTCGCATACCAAAAGCCCCCCGGTCGAAGACCAAGCAGAAGAAGAAGAAGAACAAGGTGGCATCTCCCACATCGTCGGCGCGATCGTCGAGGTCGTCGACGTCGAGACCTTCGTACTTCACTGCGATCGAGGATGGTGGTGAAATAACAGGGTCTCTGGAGTGTTCTACATATCGATCTTAATTTTATTTTGCCTGAACAACACTCGATTCTATAGCTATAGATTCAGTTGAAGAACACAAAATGATTTGGTCGGTGTACAGTATTTTACTAGATTGGGATGAAGCATGATTCTTTGATTTGTTTACTTTTGTCTTGTTCTTTGAAGTCTGACTGTCATTCTATTCTTTTCCTCACTCAGGTGCAAAGAAGCCAGCATTGGATGCTTGCTTTCGACTATAACCCTAAGCAGCACTGAGCTGTTAATTCCTGCACATCCAATTAATTACTTGTATTTTAGAGAAAAGGGAAAAAAAATGAAAAAAATCAAAAGTTCAATTGTGTTATAGAATTTATCATGATATTCGTAAAGAACAGTCAAAACACCAAATGTTAGGCATTGGAATTGCAACTCGGACATGGTTGACAGCATGAATACATAACATGAACTGATGAACAAGCAATGCACATTTCCAAGGCACCAAGCAAAGTATATAACTTTCTGTGGTAAATATCTCGAGAACAAATACCTTTGCACCTCAGCACATCCATATGCTTTGCTTTAGAGGTTAAGGCGCCAACTTGTAAAGGTCACAGGAAGCCTACAAATGCCCCACACCATAGCGTTCTTCTCTGAGGCCCTCATCTTGAGCTCCTGCACCTTCTCCCTCATGGCGACCTCATGTGGCCTGGTGTTAGCCTGTGTTGCTGTGATGATAGCCATGGCGGGTGCGATTCAGTTCAGGGTCGGAGGATCGAAGGGGTGGTCTGTGCCTGACCCCGGTGCAATGTCGTACAACCAGTGGGCTGAAAGAAACAGGTTTCGTGTGGGAGATTCACTGTGTAAGCAAGCAGAAAAGCTTCTATGTTGTGTACTTTGAGTCGATCTGCGAAGATATCGAGTACGTTGACTTTGGTGTTCTTGCAGTGTTCGTCTACCCACCCGATAAGGACTCCGTCCTCCAAGTCGGGAAGGAAGCCTACGACGCTTGCAACACCAATGCCTACGTCGAGAAGTACGACCACGGCAACACCGTGGTCACTTTCAACCGGTCGGGGCCCGTGTACTTCATCAGTGGCGTGGAAGCCAACTGCCTGAAGAACGAGTCGGTGGTCGTGGTCGTCATGGCGGATCGGAGCAACCGAGCCGCAGCCCCAGGTGCGAGCGAGCCGAGCCCGTCGCCTTCTCCTTCGACCCCAGTCGCGAGGGAGCCGAGCCCGTTGCCTTCTCCTTCGACGGCCTCAGCGCCATCTCCTCCTCCTCCTCCGTCGCCGCCACCGAGCCCGGCCGAAGTCACACCAGCACCGGGACCTGCACCTTCGGGTGAGGAACCCAATCCTCCATCTCCTCCCTCTCCGCCAAACATGGCTTCGTCGACGAAGGTCGGCTTCATGGGCATGGTTGGCTCCCTCCTTGGATCGGTCCTACTACTTGCTTTGTGAGGTGGGGAGCAAATGAATCGCTTGTGGAGTTATCGAGCTTTTTGGCGTCATTGGTTTGAGTGGTTTGAGTGTGCCTTCCGAGAATAAACTGTTGGATTGCCACAAGCTATTCTATTCTTTCAAGTTGGTGAATGCAGAAAATTTATTTGTCTGAATGAACAACATCTCAACTGTGCTTAAGCTCAAAGTTTCTGATATTTATATTCCTAATAAATGCATTACTTTGTCCACATAATTCTGAATCTGACAATTACACAAACTTTAATGGTTTTGAGTTTGGTTTGATTCATTGCAATGAATTTAAATTATATGTTTATTATTATTAGAAGTTTTAAATTATTGCAATGGATCCCCTGCTCTGTTATATTAATTTCATATTTTAGCATTTAGAAGTTGTGATATTTAGATTGTCGAGAAATTTAGATTTATTTTTTTATATTTTATATTAATATACATGAAATCTGTGGTTTGTTATATGTTTAAAACCTCGTTTCAGATTATAATTCTGATCATATGGTATTTGATATAAACTGCAATTATTTCATAAGTTTTCATCGGAAATATTCATGAACTATTGACTTTTAAAATTCGGAAATACTAGTTATTGATGTTTTAATTCAAAAAAATAGTTTTTGAATCTTATTAATCATATATATATATATATATATATATATATATATATATATTACCTGCGAATTTTACATATTTATTCTGATATTATTTTAATTGAAATTTTTATTATCGAATTTTTAGAGGTTCCATTAAAAAAAAGAAAACAAATTGATTGAGAATTGACTGGGTTCGGGTCTCATGGACCGAACCAGATCACCCGACCCAAGACGCAGACCCAACTCGGACCGGGCGCAAAGGGACTGACGCATGCGGTCCAGGGATCGGCTCGGGTTTAACAGGCCGGCTTGGTAGAGCGGCTGAACCCGGCTTAGGCCTGCGAAGTGAGGCTCGGTTCGGGCCGTTGCGGCCTGGTGTTTAAGCCCAGTCTTCGGCCTCTCTCTCGCACGTGCAGTGCACGCGAGCATGCCCAGTCCACTGGTGAGCACAGCCCGTTGCTGCGCAAGTCTCATTGGCTCCTAATTTACACCGAACGAGACCGGTTTGACCGGTTCAGGATGATTCTACCCTGTATAATTCAAATTAGATATAATTAAGTTTAAATTAGATTAGTTTAGGATGATTCTGGATTAGTAGGATTTTATATTGATTCAATTCAGTTCTAATTGAATTAAGTTCAGTTTAAGTCAATCGAACCAATTCAATTAGGGTTTATGTCGGTTGATAGGGTGTGACTCATCGTCTTACTTATGTTGATTGATTATTTATGAGTTTTTAATAATTTATATGAGAGATAAAAATATACAAAAAATGATAAATGTATCCAATATGATACTAGGAAAGTTATAAAAATTATATAAGAAGACTAGCAAGCACGATTCCTTTTAAGGATTATTAGATAGTTTCTTTATCATTATTGAGATAAATATGTTCTTATTTTGATGAGAAAGGAAGATCACTCTATTTATTATTGGGAGTACAATATGAGAAGTAGATGAGATTTCCCTAACTGTTTGAGGAAATCTCTCTACCCTGTTGAGGGAAATCCTCTAACCTGTTGAGGAAAATTCTCCCTTCTAACATGTATAAAAGGAAGGGGATATGTTAATAACAATCAACTTCTTCTATAACTTGTTTATCTATTTATTTTCTAACATGGTATCAGAGCAGTTCCTCCTTGGCGACAGCAGTATCGCCGTGTGTTAGCCAAGCGGCCACAGTAACACGGTGCCTTAAGCGGAGTCATTGAAGAAGCACAAGACACGGATTCAGAGCCAGTGCTAACGAGCATCGTCGCACCGTCTTGGCTCTGCTCATCCACTCCTTCATCGCCGGTCTTGCTTTTCTTTGCCGGCCTTGCTCCTTCTCCTATTTGCTGCCTACAGCAGACACTCTCCGTCGCCGTCACGCAAGGAGGAAAACATTCTCTCACTGCCTCCTCAATAGCGGTGAACGGCGAACAACAGTGTCTTCCTCGCTTCTCGGCCAACAGCAATCGTAACTGCTGCATCTTCCTCTACCGCAGCAGCTTTCGCTGCCGCTTCCCTCTACACAATGACGCCTCCTTAACGGCGGTGTCCTCCTCCTCAATAGCGACGAATGGCGAACGACGGTGTCTTCCTCGCTTAGTCTTCCTTGCTTAACGACGGCTGCCGCGTCTTCCTCCTTCGCTGTCGCAGTCGCTTCCCGGCCAGCATCAGCCACAACCGCTGCATCTTCCTTCCTCTACCGCAGCAGCTTTCGCTGCCGCTTTCCTCTATACATCTAATTGCCGCAGATTTCTCTCACTGCAGTTTCCTTGAGTACCGCTGCAGATTTTCGTGGCCATTTCCCGGCAATCCGCAGTCTTGAGTATCGTTGCAGTTTTCACGGCCATCTTCCGGCGAACTGCAGCCTCTACAATCTGCTGCAGCAAGTAGCAATCTACAGCAGCAGCCCCCTCCCTCATTCTCCACCTTGTGTGACCTGAGTATCTCACACAAGGTTCGCTGCATCTTCTACAAAAAAAAAAAAAAAGTCTTCATTCACTTCTTCTGATGTTTCAGTTCCTGTAGGGACTCCCACTTCTTGTTCTTCTACAGGGCTTATCTCCATCAATGCTGCCACGCTGATCCCCTTTAAGTTATCAAAGGGTGGCAACTATGCGTCCTAGCGAGCTCAATTTTCTAATCTTTTATTTGGATACGACTTGTTAGGTTACATTGATAGCTCTTTCAGTTGTCCTCTAGCCATGCTCAACATCCCCGACGATCCCAGTCCAGTACCCAATCCAGCTCACAAACTGTGGCTACATCAAGATCGTCTCATCCTCCAAGCTATTCAAGCATCAGTTGCTGGATCCGTTGCTCCCTTGATTTCTTCATGTGTGACAACTGCCGATGCATGGTCTACACTGCAAACCACCCTGGCAAATCATTCGCGTACTCGCAAGCTCAGTCTTCTATCCAAGCTTATGGTGACGAAACAAGAGGGAAGTACTATCTTTGATTATCTACAACATATCAAGGTTATCATTGATGACTTAGCCTTGATAGGTCATTCCCTATGTGACGAAGAGGTTGTCATTCATACCCTCAATGGTCTCGACACCAACTACAAGGAATTGGCTATTGCAATTTGAGCACGCGACTCGCCAGTCTCTTTTGAAGATCTCTATGATAAACTGACTGACTACGAGATGTACTTGAAGCGTGCGGACAAACTGCCTGGATCAACTGTCACAGCTCAAGTCAGTCACAAGTCTAAACGGAAGAGCACTCGGTACTCGCCGAACATCACCCAAGGTTTGGCTAATGCGCCTCTTGATTCTATGAGTTCCATGCAACACCCCTCCTATCCTCCTAGTCATCACTTCTCGCAAAGTGGTAACTCCAGCCATCATCCGTCTTGGCGTCCTGCCCTACCGAGCCATCAAAGATGGGTCGTTTGCCAACTGTGTGACAAAGTCGGCCACTCCGCTAAAGTTTGCCGGTCTCGTCCCCGCCTCCCTGCTCCGTCACACTGGCCTCAGGCAAATCTCCTAACTTCTCCGACACCTAGCCAGTCCAACTGGATTGTCGACTCTGGTGCCTCTCATCACATCACCGCTGATCTTTAGAATTTGTCTCTTCACAATCCCTATGGCGGCGATGAAGATATCATCATCGGTGATGGTAAAGGACTTCCTATAACTCATACTGGTTCCACAATGCTTAATTCTGACTCTAATACATTTACCCTCGATGATGTTTTATACGCCCCTCATATTAAACGCAACCTCATTTCTGTTTCTCAATTTTGCAAACATAACAATACTTCCATTGAATTCTTTCCTGATTCATTTCTTGTTAAGGACTTGAGCACGGGGGCATCATTGGTCCAAGGCTCGAATAAAGACAACATTTACGAATGGCCGTCAGCCTCTCGAATAACCCAGCCCACTATTCATTCTTCTATTGCAGCTCCAGTTGATGTGTGGCATCGTCGGCTTGGTCATCCCTCGTCCTTTATTCAGCAGAAATTAATATCTCGTCACTCTCTTCCTCTTTTTAAGTCCACTAATTCTATGATGCATTGTGATGCTTATCTTAGTAATAAGAGTCATCGGCAGCCTTTTAGCTCATCTTCCATTTCCTCCTCTAAACCTTTTGAAATTATATATACTGATGTTTGGGGTCCTGCTCCAATCTTATCTTTTGATAAGGTTCGATTTTATGTTATTTTTGTAGATCACTTCTCTAAGTACACATGGATATATCCTCTTTCTCATAAATCTGACGTTTCTCGTATTTTTTCCACTTTTCAGAAGTTGGTCGAAAACTATTTTCAGTCTACCATTAAAACAATCTACTCTGATGGTGGCGGTGAATATCAAGCCCTGGCATCCCATCTCTCAGCTTGTGGCATTCAACATCTCAAGTCTCCCCCACATACTCCTCAATTAGTTGGTTCTACCAAACGCAAACATCGGCATATAGTAAAAACTGGACTCACACTTCTACATCAGGCTTCCATGCCTTCAACTTTTTGGACAGCAGCCTTTCAAACTGCTGTCTACCTAATTAATCGAATGCCTACACTAGTTCTACAATACCAGTCCCCCTTTGACACACTATTTCACAAACCCCCTAACCTTCGTAAACTCCGAGTGTTCGGTTGTTTATGTTATCCTTGGTTACGTCCCTATGCCTCTCATAAGTTAACATCTCGATCTACTCCTTGCGTCTTTATTGGTTACTCACTTGAACATAATGCTTTCCGCTGCTATAATCTCCACACTCACAAAATCTTCATATCACGTCACGTTGTCTTTATTGAGTCTAACTTTCCTTTCCAAACCCTTTCATATCCTGCTATACGGACCACTTCACTATCTCACTGGAGTATACCTTCGGACCAATCGGACGAGCCTCTCATGACTTCGTCTACTTCCTCCCCTCCTGATCCGCACTATATCACTCCAGTTCAACACTTGCCTGTTTCCTCTATTCCTACTCCACTCCACTCTTCCCCAATTGATTGGGCAATATGTTCCGAAACACAACCATCCTCTTTACCTCCTTCTCGCCCAAGTGCCCCTGACGTGTCTCCACTTGACCCGGCTTGTGCCACAGATCCTCACCCAACATCACCTCCCAATCCTGTCGTCTCCAATCATCCTATGACCACTCGCTCTAAGCATGGTATTTTTAAACCTCGTCAAGTACTTAACCTACAAGCTATCATGAATTCCTCATCCCCCAACGTTGAACCCACCACCTTCACTCAAGCCCAAAAATCTCCGCATTGGCGTACTGCCATGAGTGAGGAATATAATGCCCTCCTCCATAATTCAACGTGGGATCTCATTCCTTTCCATCCTTCACAAAACATCATCGGGTGTAAGTGGGTCTTTAGAGTTAAGCGGAACCCAGATGGCTCTGTTGCCCGATATAAGACACGCCTGGTCGCCAAAGGGTTTCATCAACGACCTAGAGTTGATTTCACTGAGACGTTTATCCTGTTGTTAAACCCACTACAATTCGGCTTATCTTGAGTTTGGCTACCACTAAAGGCTGGCAATTACGACAATTAGATGTTAATAATGCCTTTCTACAGGGATCTCTATCCGAAGATATTTTTATGCAACAACCCCTTGGTTTTACTCATCCTCAGTATCCACAGCATGTTTGCAAACTTCGAAAAGCCATTTATGGATTTCGTCAGGCTCCGAGAGCTTGGTACACTGAACTTAGCTCATTTTTGACTTCTGTCGGCTTTCTTAACTCTAAATCTGACACTTCGTTGTTTTTGCGACATCATCATGGAAACACAATGTATATTCTGGTATATGTGGATGATATTATTATCACAGGCAACAATCCCATCAGCATCCAAGTGTTCATCAAACAGGCGGCAGCTCGATTCTCGCTTAAGGATCTCGGACCCTTGAGCTACTTTTTGGGCGTCGAAGCTACCTTCACGTCTTCCGGTCTCCTTTTATCACAACGTAAGTACATTCAAGATTTGTTATTAAAGACAAACATGCAGGATGCAAATGCAGTTACAACCCCCATCTCTACTAATGGTTCTTTCAAATTATCGGATGGAAGTCCTGCTACGGAACCCACTCAATACCGTCAAGTTGTTGGCTCTTTACAATACTTAGCTCTCACGCGTCCAGACATCTCATTTGCTGTCAACAAATTATCACAGTTTATGCAGTAACCATCTACTTTACACTGGTCTGCGATCAAGAGACTTCTACGATATCTTAAAGGGACCCTAAATCATGGTCTATTTTTTTCGTAAACACTCTCCACTTCGTCTTCATGCCTTTACCGATGCTAATTGGGCAGGTAACCTTGATAATAGAACATCCACATCGAGGTATATTATCTTCCTTGGTGCTCATCCAATCAATTGGAGTTCTAAGAAGCAAAAGACAGTCGCCCGGTCTACAACTGAAGCTGAATACCATGCCATTGCCGCTACCACTGCAGAACTCAATTGGATCACGAATCTACTCCAGGAACTCAACATCGATTCCACCCCTACAATATATTGTGATAATATTGGAACTACCTATCTATGCGCTAATCCGGTATTCCACTCCCGCATGAAACATATTGCTATCGACTTCCACTTTGTACGCGATCAAGTTGTCCGCCGTCAACTTCGTGTTTCTCATGTTCATACGGCTGATCAGTTGGCCGACTCATTTACGAAGCCTCTAGCTCGTAAACTTTTTGCATTACATCTGTCCAAGATTAGCCTCCTTGATCGAAGTACCATCTTGCGGGGGCATGATAAGTAGATGAGATTTCCCTAACTGTTTGAGGAAATCTCTCTACTCTGTTGAGGGAAATCCTCTAACCTGTTGAAAAAAATTCTTCCTTCTAACCTGTATAAAAGGAAGGGGGATATGTTAATAACAATCAACTTCTTCTACAACTTGTTTATCTATTTATTTTCTAACACAATATATATTTTATTCATCCGTTATTAAGAGAATAGAGAATCCATCTTGTCATGTTATGAGATAAGATAATTTCATGGCAGAGTGATCCACCTAATGTTCTGATATTGAATCTTGTTACTGAGACCGGCTACTCAGATTTATGATCGAATGTTTTGACTTACTAATATTTATTTTGTTATTGATTTTATTACCTATTATTAAAGGATGTTTAGCCGTTTCTACCGAGCATTGCTAATTTCAATATCTTTGCTTTGAGATGTTATATATGGAAAGTATGTTATATTCTGCTTGTACTAGAGAAGAAAAAAATTGGACATGGATCATCAAAAATTTGGGCTGTTATATTCTGCTTGTACTATATTCTGCTTGGACATGGATCATCAAAAATTTGGACATGTTATATCATCTTTGCTATATTCTGCTTGTACTAGAGAAGAAAAAAATTTGGGCTGTTATGATTTGCCTCTTTAGATTTGACAGTCTCATCAAAATCCAAAGTTCAAATTATAATCCAAAATCAAATCCCATATTCATGCAGGTGAACAAATCCAATGATGGTTTCACATTGTAAATACAATGTGCCTTCATTTTATATACTATGATGTAATAATACTAAGACATTTTTTCCATATACAGCACAACTATTACATTATTATGAAGTGTTTTATTTTTTCTCTCAATAAAGCAAGTTAATTAGGCCTGTAATGACCCACCTTGACTTTGACTAGGAAAACAATCTTGCTCGGCTATTTCAGGAGACATATATGATCCATTTACATCATCCATACCAGAAAACACAATACATTGTTTGCCTTGAGGATCAATGGTTCCAACTAAAATACATTTACTACCTATATCTTCTAAACAACAGCACTCAAAAATGTAACAGGAAAGCTAAATCTGCAGTTCAATTTACAAGACAACTTTACAATCATCTTCTACTACATCTCAAGTGTAACAAATGCCATACAAAACAACACAGCAAAACCTACTATGTCTTTCAGTTCTTAACAGAAATCAGCGCCGCCTGATATCAGTGGCTTCTGTGACTCGGGCAAGTGCTCAACATATAATGAATGTATCATTTCTACGTATTCGTTCATGTTTTCGGCTTTCCACCCATCTGTTTCTATTGGTGGAAGGTACTTTACTGTGATTGGGGCTGGTCTGACTCTCAAACTATTCTTCCTCCAAGCTAGATGTGTGCCAGTGAATATCATCGGAACAATTGGCAACTGTGTTTGCAGTGCAATATGCATGAAACCCTAAGAAGATCGATAAATTCAGCTCATGATGTAAACAGAAGCATTTATTTATGCAAATAGAGTTAAGATGATTACCTTCTTAAACGGAAGAAGCCTCCCTGATCTGGATCGAGTACCCTCTGGAAAAATGATAAGTGACAGGTTATGGTTCACAATTGCATGAGCTGCCTGAACTCAAGAACAAAACTTTGTTAAACATATCTTAAAAATTGTTAAAGAATATGCTGTTCACGAATGAGTGCAACCTCTTTCAGGGATTCGATGGCAGCAGAAGGGTTGGAGCGGTCTATACGGAGATGGTTTGCCAACACGTAAAGCTGCCCAAACAGAGGATACCAAATGATCTGGGAAAAAGATGTGTGTTATCAGTATAAGATTAATGCTTGATATCTGAGATAATCTTTGATGACAACAAAATTTAGTTTCACACTGACCTCTTTTTTGGCTATGCCAACAGTGCCTGTTGGGGTCAGCCACATAACAAGAAAAATGTCTATGGGCGACGTGTGATTACAGATAAATATAGCCCTTGTGTCAGAAAACTCAGAACCTTCAATCTTTATGGGGTTTCCTAGAATCCACATCTGCAAGAATTAGAAGGATCAAAGATCATATATGAGAAAAAAATTATAATTTTGAAATGTAAATAGTTCATGTATGCAATAACCAGAGATACAGCACTTGGAGAGAGTGGCTGAGCATTTAAACAATGAGAAAAAGTAACTAAATACCTTACAGAAATACATAAGATGGCACTCAGGAAGAAACAGTACATAAAAGTTTTCTGTCATCTGTTATCTGAATATACACTGGTGGATTTTTTAGGTGAATACACAAGCTTCTAATAAGCATACCCAGTAATAACAAACCAAATCTCAACCATGTAGCCTGACAAACATTATATTAATTTACATATTTATCTTCTTTATGACAAATGAATCCCTACATATGTACATTATTTTTTTATTATATTTTTCATCACTAAAAAATACCAAAGACATTTTAGTGGGAGGTTGGTCATACAAGTATGTCTCATGTACTGTTCTTTTTGGTATTATATGTTTGACCTTTTCTGGACCCAAGTCTTTCCCGGGATATATCAGTTATCTACGACATAAATACTTAAAGAAAGTAGTTCTTAAGGAAATGCTTCTTTACTAAGTTTATTTTGCTCAGTCAGCTTTAATTTTGTGACTTCTAGGATGGATGCACTGCAGATGTTCACCTATGAAACTATTATTTTCTTGAAAACACAACCAACTATGCAATATATCAACATGTTGTGCTATTCCCAAGAGTACAATGTGAGGCACACATAAAAAATAGATGTTCTGATTTGCGTGAGTTTCATGATCACTATTATCAAATTTAGGATTTAAAATTTAGCCTATACATGTAGGCTCTTGGCACAGACCGGTATTTACTGGCTCAACAACTAGCCCAATGCATGAAGCAGTTGTTTTCACCTAGTATAGGTTCCTACTGAGCTTACCACCTACAGTGGTTACCATACCAGGCCCATCACGCTGTTTTGAATGTTGGAACTAGGTTTATGGGGTGGCAAGCATACCCTCAGTATGCAAATCCAAGAGCACCTGAATCTTCCACCCTTTTAAACCCCTATTCAACCACTTCTTTCCCCATTGTTTCACCAAATATTCTCAATCTTACTCTCCAAAGTTGACTTTTCTCAAATTCAAGGACAATCTTAAACAAGTCAAGCCTCACTCTCAAGAACTTGTTTTTCTCAAAAACAAAGGTATATCCAAACCTCATTTAAAAATTTGCCTTAATTTTTGTTGAATGAGGTTAGCATCTTCTTTTTTCATTTGAAGTCACGAATTTATGGATTTTGACTTAGAATTTGGATTGTTCATAAATCTATGGATGTTATGTAATTTCTTATAGAAAGGAGACAGATCAATGAAACTCTACCATAGATCTACATGATTTTAAGATAAATCCACCCAGATCGGACCAAAAGTAATGCAGATCCAATGAAAATCCATCTGGACCTGACCTAGATTTGTTCAATTTTGGTCTAGATGCATATAGATCTAGGTCAGATTGCACAGCTCTGACCTAGATTTACATAAAAACAGATGTGTGCTTTGACCTAAGTTTTCATAGATTTTCATAGATCTAGTATAGAACTATAAGAATTCACCTAGATCTAGACTAAGTTCATATGGATTAGACATAGATCCATACCAACATGACATAAATTTGCATAGATGTCGGCTAGATCTGAGCAGATGCAAACTAGATTTGCATAGATCTTATATGTTCAAGCTTCTTTCAAGATATTGAGTCTAAATTCAATAATTGTGCACTTGAATCAGTTTGTTAGTCTGTAGGGAAATGGTACTGAAGCAACAAAGTTCAAAACCAGTATGATAGTACATTTGCTGCTTGGGCCCCACCACCATTATTAACGGCATATTCACTGCAACTACATTCCATGAGCGGAGGAATAACTGACTGAGGTAACAATTAGCGGATGGATTCCCTGATTTAGCTAAATGCACGATGGTGTCTCAAGAAGTCAGACGAGCTTTTTGAGTAGAGTTGGATGTTTAGAAAGCCCTAAAGCTTCTCATGATCTGATACTTCACATAGCTCATAGTGCCACCATATAGACTTTACTGCTATACAGCCAATGCAAGCATACTTGTCACAATCATACTAGCCAACTTCATATGAATGCTAGTTTTAAGTTTTTTTGTGTAGTTGCTGTAGTAATTCCATTGATCCTGCAATGTCAAACCACTACCTAGCAAATTATACAACTTCCCTGCAACTCAAAATGTTGTGGAGCAACTTGCATTCTTTAATTTGGTTTTACTCCACAATTTGTTCTCTCACCATCATTGGTTTTGTACCAGATATTTTTAATCTACAAGATCTAGTTAATTCCACATATCAGTCTTGAGATACTACCAGTGACTGTCCCCGAAAATATTGTGAAAACCTCTCAACAATTGATGCTCCCTGTGCAATCCATCCTCTGTGGCATGTATCCTTTACTTGTCAGCTAGAAGATCATCCAAAACTAAAATCCTTTATACTTGATAGCCCCTGCACATATCACCATCTATCCCAATATACCTCCCCCACTTTGCTATAGTATGCATTACAATAATCAGAAAGTGTTTGTTGATGACAATCCATCAAATATAAAGATAACCTATATTTTTGTAGTTATCTATACTACTAGTGTGTGAAATAAGTCGTGCATTGCACCAAACAACATAATGTGAAAATCTACTTGTGGTCACTTGGCAGGTACTTAAGTACGTACGTATACAGAATTAATACTAAGCTAACTATCGAGTTATATAAAAGGTTTGTTGGTGCCTTATGTTCATCTTGAGTTCAAACTAGATCCACATAAGACCATCTATCAATTTCCTCTGTTTACGTGAATAAATATCCTTTTGTGCTGTAATCAAGAATGTTGTCCTCTGCATTTGAGGCAAAATACGATATGTGGGTCAGAACCCTTGTGTAAAATAAATAATCTTGTCGACCAAAAAGATATACCATTTATTGGAGGAAGGATCAACATTCTTTGATCAATGAAACTATGGCTGTTCCTGATACTCTTGCTACTAGATTCTGGACAAAGCATGTAAGCCATAGAAATTCTGTTTCGATAATGCAGCCATCAGTCAAATATGATTCAGTAGCATCATACTGAGTTTCTCTGAGATACTACGTTAAGTACAATGGTTATTGTGTGCACTTTGTCTTAATGCTCCTAGATAATGCACTTGTACTTTCATAGCTTTGTACTCTATAAAGTTTTCCACTACATTATGTACTATGTCGAAGGAGGAGCTGAAGAGAAGACCCCGAGTAGTAACTAGCTAAAATGATAAGAGATGCTTAGTTGTGATTGATTGGAGATTGCAGACTCATCGATAAACCTGGAAATCTTGTTTTAACTAATTCATGTCTCCTCTGAATCATAGTGTCATGTAACATTCAAATTGAAAGGAAGATAAACTTGAATTATAGGGGGAACGGATAATTGTAGATTGAATTTTTTTTCCTATTTGAAAGCATACAATTTATAAGAAGATACATTGTCAAGAGTTACTGCTAATAAATTAAAGGGATTCTCTCGATCTCTGAGCACTCTTTTCTGAAACAAATCTGATTGTTCATTTCATGAATCCGGACTTGGCTGCACAATCAACTTTGTGTCTTTATGTTTGCCTTGTACCCAATTCTGTTCGATCCAAGTCACTATCAACAAAATAAACAACTAGTTGCAGTTGAAAGCAGTAAATCGTCCCCTCATTAAATTTACAGAACCCCACTAAACACAAAAGACGATTTTAATTGGATGATACCCATATCACATACTAGCCAAGAACAATCATGATAATGTGGTACCACAATATCAAAACCCACTGTCCCATTCAATGCTATCAAAATTTGATCCACCATTCGTGTCACCCACATACCCTCGCAGCATTGACATCTTCATGCCCCAAAAATTGTGGACAGAAAACTCAAGCCATCCAAGAAGCTGTCCGAGGCTATTAACTTCACAATCAGGTACACGAGCGGAAATTTCAATCGATTGATTTAGAAGACCGATCGACAAGCGAAAAGAGGAGAATCAAGTCCAGTCGATCACATATCCACACGACAAACAATAAGCACATTGAAATCAAGATATAAAAAAAATGCAATTTTTTTTCGCATTATTATCAAATCCAAGCAGAACATGATGATCAAGATTGGAACTTTCTTATTTTAATTTTTCATTTTGCTTACCATCAATCGCCCGGTGACGTGCCCGTAGAGGTTGCCCTGCCGGATCCGCTCGTAGGGCCACGGCAGCATCGGGATCATGGCCACCGCCCACACGAAGGTGGTGACCGTCATGGTGAGGAAGCAGGCGACGATCCGGAGGGCCGAGACGACCACCGTGGCCCACCCGTCCTCGTCCACGAACCCGCGACCGTCCTCCTCCGGCTCCTCGGTTTCCGGCGACGGGAACCCCGCCTCGAGGCAGCTCTCCAGCTGGCGGCCCCTCAGCAACGAGTTCAGCAGCGAGTGATCCATATTCTCCTGTCCTCTCCTCCCCTTGTCTCTTCGCAATCCACCAACGGCCCAACCACAACGATAACAGCTACAATTGACCGCATTCCCAGGAAGAAGACGAAGGCAGTAGTAAAATCCACTGCGCTACATTATTCACATATAAATAATTAAAGAAATGAGTTAATATTTATTGAAAGCTATGAGAGTGTTGTACTAAACATGATTTTACATATTTATCCTTGTCAATTTTGAACTATAACATTTATTCTTGCAAATTTTGATATACACGTATATTTATTAATTGGTTTGAGTTCAAAGTAAGGATTAAATATGCAAAAGGGTAATCATAATAATATACATAAATTTTTGTAGGTTTTGCAACAACATATACATATAAATACTAAACAATATATAGAAATGAAATGTTCATCTTTCACTTATTTTGAGGAAATTCTTTCCATGTATCTCCAAGTATTAGAGACCTAACCATATATTTCTCCTTTAACATTCATAAAATATAAGAATAATTATGACTAACATTAATTAGTTCGAAATAAATTAAAAGATAAAGAGTATTAAATAGTGAATATTATAAAAGTAAGTTTGTAGGTGTTTACAACAATATATGTGTGACAATTTTTAGAGGACATCCAGTAATTTAATTGATAAAAATATTAATGGGTTGATAATAAACTCGTTAGATCAAATCTCTGTTTCATCATTAAACATTTTATATTTATATATATATATATATATAAAATATGTGTGTGTGCAATTTTACCCTTAATTTGATAGATGGGGATGATGAGGTACTCCTCTAATATTGGATTCCAAAGGACTGGATTGTAATTATGTACTCGGTCAGAACACATGAACGTGTGGGGTTGGATGGGATGGCATGTAAGAAGGACAACGGATCGAGTAGAGAGATAAGAGAAGATTCTAGAGAATGAGAGGCTGTGTAAAGGAGGATCTGTGATGAGCTGTGGTGAGAGATCGGACAGAATATTAGTGCTTATGCCTTTACATATATGTATACTTTTGTCATTTAATATTTTACTATATATATACTCCTTCGAATATTTGGGTCCTTTTAGACAATCGAAATCACTAGAAAGGGTGCGTATGGTGCCAACAGTGCAGCAAGGGTGGGCCCGCCTTTCCCTTCCACTACTCTTGGTTTTCAAAGTTTGTTACCCCACATTGAGTTACTTACAACTATTCTACTATCTGTTACCCCACATTCTATTATTATTGTGCCAACAACCTCTTCTACCTTATCAAAAGCTTAAGGACAACATTCTCTATTGAGGTTTTAAGATATCTCGAGAACTATCACTTTCTCTTTTCCCCTCTTGGTTATCACGAGTGGTAAGGGTTTGAGGTAACAACCACCACCACCACCCCATTTGTTGATTTGTTGTATATTTATCCATACGATGAATGTAGTTGGTCTCATAACTACTTGTATGGGGACACTAAGAATATAATACAGGTGCTCATTAGGGAATGAGTTTACTGATTGATCCGCTTACAGAATGTTAGATGATTGATAATGTCTTATTGTCAAACAACGATATCGTAGTCCCAGTGATGTATATGGTCCTTAAACTTGAGACACCAAGGATATCGTGTATGAGTACTCCACTCTTTGATACCAGACTTATAGGTCTAGAGGTTCCAGATCTAGCACAACCGGTCATTGGGAGTGGTAGCCAACCTTACGAGGACTATTGAGTATCGATAGAGTATCCACTCTCGATGTCATAAGAGAAATATCTCATGTGTTCTTACTCAGACAAATCCCTAGTTAGGATCATTCAGATTGAGAGAGAAAGAGTTCTCTGAGAGAATCTGATTAGAGTGAGACTCGAGAAGAAATCGTATGGGTCTGACGGCACTATTCCCAATATACGGTCTCTGGGATATTAGATAGATGAGGGACTAAATGTACATGGTGACTGAGGACAGACATGTCTAATGGATTAGATTTCCCTGTATCATTTGGGGACTACAGCGTGGTGGCCTAGTACGTCCCAGTCGATGAGTTGAGTAAATTATTATAAAGATAATAATTCACTGAGCCAAAAGGAGTTATGATAGATATGATCGATGGCCAACTCAATATTAGGCCTAGAGGGTTACATACATATAGTATGCGTTACGATGAGTAGAGGTTTGAATATAAGATATCTACTGGAGCCCCTATCTTATTGGATATCCAATAAGCTCCTAAATTATTGGATCTTATGAATAATAGTCAATGAGAGATTGTTGGATAGAGATCCACTAATCTAAGAGGCTTTGGTAATTGGATAGAGATCCAATACCCAATAGGGTAGGATCTATTAGAGTTAAGTTGATAGGGGACCTCTATAAATAGGAGGAAAATGGTTCATAGGAAAGAGCCTTTTTGGATTGTCTCTCTTATTCTCCTCTTCTTCTCCTCCTCAAATAACAGGCTTAGAGTTTTGAGGAGCATCGTCGTAACCCTATTGTGTGGATCACTACTAGAGAGGACGCTTGACCTCCTTCACTCTCTCCTAGAGATCTATAAGGATTCAGGGATATACGATCTCCCTAGTAACACAATCTTTAATATACATAGTTTTTTGTTTTATGGATTTTGTGCACCAATCTTTGCATGATGACGAACATATATTTAGGAAATTGGGGATTTTGTTTTATGTTCTTCCACTGCGCATGTGATATCGCCCCTCAGATTTTTCTACAGTAGTATCAGAGCCAGGTTGTTTGTGTGAAAGATTGGTTTTGAATTATGTGTATTGTGTTTTAGAAAATCTTTTGATGTCAAAATCGTTGACGCAAAAGGTGATGTCAAAATCTTTTGATGTCAAAATCGTAGGTTGGCCAATGGCTACTTGTAGCCTTTGGCCAAGCCTTGGCCACCTGTGTGCAGGTGGCCAGCGCTCGACCGTAGGGGCGCCCGCTCGCGAGGGTGCATAACCACAAGGGCGACGTCGCCCATGGGCAAGGGCGACGCCCCTCGTCCCCTAAAGTGGCTGCCTTCGGCAAGGTGACAGCAACACAACAAGGGAGAAGAGAAGAGGGTTAGGGTTTTTTTTTGTAAAAGATAGTTTTGTCCCTCGAAATTTGAGAAATTTTAGTTTCTGTCCTTTATCCTTCACAATTCATAAAATTTCTTACATACCCCTGATTTTAAAAAATATTAATTAATTAAAAAGTTTAATTTATTATTATTATTATTAGTATTATTATTATTATTATTATTATTATTATTATTATATAGTAGTCCTACATGATGATGATGTGTATATGTAATGTATGATATGTGGACGGATGATCATGGACCGTGTGATGTGTGTTCTTGTGATTATTATTATTGGGGCCTATGAGCCTCTATTTTTTTTCTCGTTTATTGTCGGGCCTGCATGCCTATGATTAAGTTGTAATCACATGAGGAGGTGCAGTAGGAGCATGGAAGCGATAGTGGGACCCACGAGACGGACGATCACGATGCATGAAGATGCATCGAGATGCCGACGAAACTGATGAGAACGAGATGGACGATCACAGTGCAAGGAGATGCATCGCTACACACATAGATCTTGATGCGAGTGATTAGGCCCATTGGCTCGAGCTTGATCATATTAGGTTGTGGTCTATAAGCATCTTGTATGATTTCTTATGTGATGTATGATTGATTATACACCTACTATATATATATATATATATATATATATATATATATATATATACACATGCATGCGATATAGATATATATTAAATATGTATGTGTGTGACATGTTATATTAGGAGACTAAATTAAAATCTCATCTCTCGAGAATATTAAGTCGATAAACATGAGGTAATTATATTGACCCACGTGGCCTTCCATTGTTATAGATAGGGACCGATTTTCAATGTAGGTTAAGTTGGTCGAGTCCCTCGAGACTCACATATATCGCGATTCGCTATCTTG